GAATTTGTTGGCCCAAGTTCAGGTGAAGTTTTGAAGAATGACAAATGAACTCAGTCATGGACCAGGTCCATCATGTGAGGCACAGTATTTATCAACCTATACATGTGAGATGCACGTGAAGGAGATAAGTCTCAGTGATCAAGCAGCAATATCTCCTGAACTGATCGAAAAGGTTGCATATTGGATAAGGAGTGAAAGTCTCCTTATGAGAAGAGAACACAATCCGGATAAAGGATAGGGTTGGAGTTTGTGTTGTTCAAGGACTCAACTTCGATGGAAGATCAGCAATTGAGTCTCAATCAAACTCTAATTACTAACTCATTAAATAACAGTGATTGTTCTCTTTTACAGGTATTGCACAAACGCAGAAGTTAAACTAAATTGAGAGCAAAAGAGCGAGGCAATTTTGCAAGCAATTTATGTGAGATTCAAGTGTGCATTCCTGAAGCTACTTGGACAATTCCATTGTGTCTTTCTTTTAATCTAGTTCAATTGTAGTAGGTGTTTTAAAGTTGTACCTTTCAGCTTTCATAGAAGCAATTGTATTAGGTACTTTGAGTATTCAAGTTAGAGTTAACTTGAAAGTGTCCCAGCAGTTGAGGCTGTGTGCCACACTGGGATTAGAGTTTAATCCTTAGGTTTACAAAGAGTTTTGTAAATGCAGTTTTGGCTCGGTGATTTTAGTGGAAGTTTGGGAAAATCCTACTGAGTAGTAGGTCGTGGTTTTTTTACCTTTTGAGCCAGGTGTTTTCCACGTAAAAATCTATGTGTTCTTTATTTTATGCACTCTTAATTCCACAAACAGTCTTAGTAAGTACATCTAGAAGAACCAGGTTCTTCTAGTGCGACAATTAGGTACCACACAAATCACCCCCCCCCCCCCTCTTGTGTGGTATTGACGTCTAGAACATCAGAGAGGGTGCGTGTGGTGAATAGAGGGGAAATGGGAATAGAGTGGTTGATCATTCACCCACTGCTGGTTTGTCTATGCTTACTATCTATGGGGTTGAATAAGAAATTGTAGAAGAGAGTGGCAAGAAGTCAGGGGGAGTGGTTCTGGTGAAGCTGCTGAAGGGTTAGTTAACCTAAGTGACAAGGAGATGAACCTGGTTCATCAACTGAAGAGACCCTAGCACACTTGTTGAAAAAGGTTGGGGCAAGTTATGATCAGAAGAAAAGAAGAACTCCCACACCAAAAGCCCTCAGTGCTCTTAAACCCTCTAAGAAAAGGAAGGTTTCTTCCACATCAACTACTAAAACTTCCTTGCCTAAGGGAAGAGCCACAAGAAGCAGGGTGAAACAAAGTGAGGCTGATCTACAAAAGGCCTTAGTTGAAAGTAAGAAGAAAAGAATGGATAAAGGAAAAGGGAAGGTTGCAGAGTCCTCAGAGGCTATTGAAGTTGAGGAGATGGAACAGGTCCATCAAGAAAAGGTTACAACAGAGGAGGTTCAGACCCCCAAGCCCAAAAAGCCAAAGACTTCTTCCAAGAAGTCTTCTTCTGTGTCTGCATCTGCTGAACCTTCATTAGCCAAGAGAACAAGGTCTGTGGTGAAAAGTAAACAACTAAGAATTTATGAAGATGAGGAATGGAGTGGAGAAGAAGAAGAAGATGAGTCTGGTGGTGATCAAGACAAGCTTTCCATGTTTGGCAAAAGAAAATTTTGAAAGGTAGATTGCTGAAAGACCTGGTAGAACCAGGAATGATAAGACTGGTAGATGCCTTCGCTGCTCAAGGATGGAAGGACATGGTCCTTCAGATGGATGGAAGACTAGCCAGGAATGAAATCATTGAGTTCATGGAAAATGCTGAGGTTAAGGATGGCATGGTTAGCAGCCTGGTGAAAGGAGTTCGGGTGACCTTTAATGCAGCAAAACTGGGAGAGGTCCTTGGCATACCCTCTGAAGGGTTTGATGACTATAAAAGGCAAAGGTGGCCTTGTCTGGACTCCCTTCCTACAGCCCTTGAAATAACCAGGAGGTTCTGTGATACTGAAGATGTAAATGAGGCCAGGGCTATTCAGAAGAGTGAAATGAGGACACAGCACAAAGTCATCTTTGAATTTGTCAACAAGTGCCTACCGCCCAGACAGGAGAGAAGGCATATTACAAATTATATGGACTTAGTGCTGATGGAGTGCTTGGAAAGAGCAATGCAAATTAATTGGCATGCACTCATCATCAAGCTGCTGGACAGGGTCATCAATGGCTCGAAGGCTCATGCTACCCCCTATGGCTTTATTCTGACTACGATTATGGATAGGTGCAATGTGCCACTGAAGAAATGGAAAATGGCCTCAAGCAAGGATCACTTTGGCATTAACACTCTGATTGCTTGTGACTACTTAGTCAGTGCCATCCCAAATGAACTTGGTTCATCCAAGAAGACTCCTATCAACAGTAAAGTCAGGTCTCTTGTTCAGGAATGTGAAGCCAAGGATGCTGAGATAGCTAGGCTCAAGGCTCGTGTGGCAGAGGTGGAATCTGAGAGAGATGCTCTCAGAATTGAGCTTACCAAGGAAAAGGAGAAGAATGATGGGATTCTTCATAAAATGCTGAATCTTCTCCAAGCCCAAAACCAACCCTCTAGCTCCTCCAAGCCTTAGGAATTCTAGCTTTTGTCTCCTGAACCTGTTTAGTACCTTAAGTGACCCAGATTAGGGATTTTTCTATATTTTTTTTGCTCATGTTTAAATGTTTTTGCTTTCTAGTTGTGGATTGTGGTAGCAACATATCTTCTATCGATGATATCTACTGTTTTTTGCTCTTGTTCATTGTTAATCATTCCTTGATAGTTTAAATATGTTTGCTTGATTACTGATGATTAATCCATGAATGCACTTGCAGTTGCCCTAGTGGCCATGAGTACTTATTAAAATCTGGGATTCACACTTTGTATGCAACTTTTCGATGATACCAAAAGGGGGAAGAGATATTGTGCTTTACACATTCTGAATAAGTGATATTTATGACCTAATTAACTTGGTCCTTAATGATAAGTGAATTTTCTAAACTTTGTATTGATGGTTAAGCTGAGTTCTTACAGGATCCAAGTAAGTAAAAGGAATAGAGTTTGTCATCATCAAAAATGGGGAATTTGTTGGCCCAAGAACAGATGAAGTTTTGAAGATTGACAAAAGAACTCAGTCATGGACCAGGTCCATCTTGTGAAGCACAGTCATGATCAACCTATACATGTGAGATGCACGTGAAGGAGATAAAACTAACTGATCAAGAAGCAATATCTCCTGATCTGATCGAAAAGGTTGCATATTGGATAAGGAGAGAAAGACTCCTTACATGAAGAGAACACAGTTTGGGAAGAAGGTAGTGTTACAGTTTGAGATCACTATGAACTCTTCTACGATAGAAGAGTAGTAATTGAATTCCAGTCAAACTCTGATAACTAACCCATTAAATATCAAGCAATTTATGTGTGATTCGAGTGTGCAATTCTGAAGCTACTTGAACGAGATAGAAGAACCAGTTCCATGTGTCTATCTTTTATTCTAGTTCAATTGTAGTAGGTGTTTTTACTTTGTACCTTTCAGCTTTCATAGAAGCAATTGTAATAGGTACTTTGAGTATTCAAGTTAGAGTTAACTTGAAGTTGTCGCAACAGTTGAGGCTGTGTGCCACAACGGGATTAGAGTTAATCCTTAGGTTTATAAAGAGTTTTGTAAATGCAGTTTTGGCTCAGTGATTTTAGTGAAAGTTTGGGAAAATCTACTGAGTAGTAAGTCGTGGTTTTTTCACCTTTTGAGTCAGGTATTTTCTACGTAAAAATCTCTGTGTTCTTTACTTTCTTTATTTGTTATTCCGCAAACAGTAGTAGTTGGAACACATAGACGAACCAGGTCCTTCTATAGTTCAGTTAAGCAAAATTGGGTACCACACAAATCACCCACCACTCTTGTGTGGTATTGACGTTTAAAACATCAGTTTCTTTATTGTGTTGTGCTCCTTATTACTGTTTTCTGCCCTTAGCATTGATATTGTTCGGTATTAGTGGTAGTATTGAACATTTTTAGTCTATGCTGAAGCTTTTCCGCGTGTATGCATTTGCAGTAGTTTAGTATATATTCCTTAGTTTCTTTGTTGGTGTTGTGGCTAGTCAAACTGATGGTAGAGTAGGGTCAAGTCCTTGGTGGGGTGGCAAGGGGTTAAGGGATCTAATAGACTAAGAGTGGGGTCATAGAACATAGGGACACTGATGGGTAATCTATAGTGTTACGGAGGTTTCTTCAAAAGAGGCAGATTAATATAGCATGTGTCCAAGAGACTAGATGGAAAGGTACGATGGCTCAAGATGTGTACGGGTTTAAGTTGTGGCATTCGGGAGGAGCTGCAGGCAAGAACAGGGTAGGTATTTTAGTTGATAGGGATCTCGGAGAGATGGTGCTGGATGTTAGGAGGGTGAATGATAGGCTAATAACTATTAAGCTAGTGGTTGGTAGGGTCAATTATAACGTGATTAGTGCTTACGCGCCTCAGGTGGGCCTGGGCGAGGAGGCCTAAAGGCGCTTCTGGGACGATTTGGATGAGGTTATGCATGGTATTCCACACACCTAGAAGCTCATCATAGATGGTGATTTTAATGGCCATATTGGGGTGACTGCTAGGGGTTATGACGAGGTGCATGGCGGGTTCAGTTCCAAAGTTAGGAATGAGGGAGGCACTCATTGTTGGATTTTGCTAAAGCTTTTGACTTCGTGTTAGCTAATTTGTGTTTCCAAAAGAGGGAGGAACACTTGGTCACTTTCCGTAGTAAGGTAGCCCGAACTCAGATTGATTACCTCCTCCTTACGAAGGGTGATAAGGTCCTTTGCATGACTGGAAGGTTATTCTAAGTGAGTGTCTATCGACACAGCATAGGCTCTTGGTAATGGACTTGGAGGTCAAGAGATTAAGGAAGAAGAAAGCGGTGTATAGCCAGCCTAAGATTAAGTAGGGAGCCTTGAATAAGGCTAATGCTCAAGAGTTGGGGGAGAAGCTGTTGGCCATGGGAGGCTGGAGGAGTAGTGGGGATGCGAGTAATATGTGGACCACGACAGCGAACTACATTAAGGAAGCTGCTATAGAGGTGTTAGGGGTAACGAAGGGTTATTCGAGAGTTCACAAAGGGGACTGGTGGTGTAATGAGGAGGTCCAAGGAAAACTAGAAGCTAAGAAAGCGGCTTATCTGAAGCTAGTGAGGAGCATCGATGAGGAGGATAAGAGGACATGTTGGAAGTGTGATAAGAAGGCAAGGAAAGAGGCAAAGTTGGCGGTCACGGAGAATAAGACCGCATCTTTTGAGCATATGTATGACGATCTTGGGGGAAAAGGAGGCGACAGAAGATGTACAAGTTAGACAAGATTAGGGAGATAAAGGCTCGGGAGCTGGGCCAAGTGCGGTGCATCAAAGACGAAGAGGGTAAGGTTCTAGTGGAAGAGGCGTGTATCAGGCATAGATGGCAGGAGTACTTCTATAGACTCTTGAACGAGGGAGGGGACAGGAATATCATGCTAGGTGAGTTGGAAATCGCAGGGAGACGAAGGGAATTTTGGTTTTGTAGGCGTATTACGAGCGAGGAGGTTGAGGGGGCTATGTTGAAGATGAGCAGGGGTAAGGCAACTGGGCCGGATGATATCCCAATGGAATTTTGGAAAGAAGTGGGTCATGCAGGCTTGGAGTGGCTTACTAGTTTGTTTGATGTCATTTTCAAGACGAAGAACATGCCTGAAGACTGGCGATGGAGTTTGGTGATCCCATTATATAAAAACAAAGGTGAAATTCAGGAATGTAACAGTTATAGGGGTATCAAGATTATGAGTCATGCTTTGAAAGTATGGGAGAGGATGGTGGAGAGAAGGGTGCGACGTAATGTTACTATTTTCGAAAACCAGTTTAGATTTATGCATGGATGGTCTACTACAGAAGTCATTAACCTTGTGAGGAGATTGGTGGAGCAGTATAGGGAGAGGAAGAAGGACTTGCATATAGTATTCATTGATCTAGAGAATGCCTATTATAAAGTCCCGAGAAACGTTTTATGGAGATGTATGAAGGCTAGCAAAATCTCGGTGGCGTACATTAGGGTGATTAAGGACATGTACGAGGGCGCAAAGACTCGGGTGAGAACTGCGAAAGGAGACTCGAATCATTTTTCAATGGAGATGGGGTTGTATCATGGATCAACTCTTAGCCTGTTTTTGTTTTCCATAGCATTAGATATGCTGACGCGACACATACAAGGGGAAGTGCCCTGGTGTATGTTATTTGTTGATGACATAGTTTTGATTGACGAATCGTGGGACAAAGTTAACGCTAGTTTGGATGTCTGGAGACAGATGCTGGAGTCTAAAGGTTTCAAGTTGATTAGGTCAAAAACTGAGTACTTGGAGTGCAAGTTCAGCGATGGGATGTATGAAGAAGAAGTGAAAGTGAAGATTGGTACTCAAGTCATCCCCAAAAGAGATAATTTTAAGTATCTTGGGTCTATTTTTCAAGGCAACGGGGAGATCGACGAGGATGTTACTCATTGTATTGGAGCAGGGTGGATGTGATGGAGGCTAGCCTCGGAGGTTTTGTGTGATAAGAATGTGCCACCTTGACTTAAGGGCAAGTTCTACACAGTGGTGGTTAGACCGACTATGTTGTATGGGGCTGAGTGTTGGCCCGTTAAGAAGTCTCAAGTCCAGAAGATAAAAGTAGTTGAAATGAGGATGTTGAGATGGATGTGTGGGCATGCCAGGAAGGACAAAATTAGGAATGAAGTTATAAGGGACAAGGTAGGAGTGGCATTTGTGGAGGAAAAGTTACGGGAATCGAGGTTGAGATGGTTTGGGCATGTAAAGAGGAGAGATATAGATGCTCCGGTCAGGAGGTGTGAGGGGTTGTCCATGGTGGGTCTGAGGAATGGAAGGGGTAGGCCGGAGAAGTATTGGGGAGAGGTAATTAGGCAGGACATGTCGTTGCTTCAGCTTACCGAGGATATGACCCACAATAGAAAGGTGTGGAGGTCAAGGATTAGGGTTGTAGGTTGACTGATAGTAGTGTGTTCCTCCTAAGCTTACCAGTAGTACTTGGATTATTTTTGTATATCTTATCATGGTTCTTTATTATTACATGATGTGTCATTCGCGCTCGTTACCATATTACATTGTTGTTATCATTGTTTTCTACTTTGCCGCTTTATCTTATCTCCATGTTCCCTCAGCTGAGGGTCTATCGGAAACAGACTCTCTACCTTTATAAGGTAGAGGTAAGGTCTACGTATACACTACCCTTCCCAGATCCCATTTATGGGATTACACTGGTTTTGTTGTTGTTGTAGACTATATGTCTAGTCAAATTAACATCATCACTTATTCTAGGATGGAGGAAGTACGTATTTTACGTTTAAAGTTCAAAAGTATATACTTTCTTCGTCTCATTTTATGTGAATGTGCTACTATTTGGGGAGTTAATTAAAGTGCTCCATCACACAACTATCAATTGTGGATGTTAGCGAGTTCATGCAGTGAAGACATTCTTAATAGCGAACGCTTCACATTAATGGGTTTCTAAGTGGTGCAAATTTGAATAAGTCAGATTAGTGGATTTCGAGGTTAAACCAAAAAGAAAAAAATTGATATAAGCTAATTATGTTACTAACCAGCTTCAAGGTCGTCTAGATCACCAAATGTATCACACAATAATATTTCTACATCATTACTGAATTAAGCCATTACAATGAACGACTAGGCAATGACATAAAAACATTGTTATTTGGATCCACACATTTCACCAAAATGGTGAAGGAACACATAGAACCGAACTGCCGGATATGACAGCAGAGGGAAAATCAAATAGAAAAAGATGCATTGGTGCTCGGAGATAACACGACAAGTCAAGCACAGGAATAAACAGAAAATTAGGGTAACACACCACTCAAAGCTATTATTTTCAAATCCTTTCCCTGATAACAAGGAAGGAAAAAACCAAAGCAATGAGTCCAGCCACTGCGGATGGGAAAGAACTGAGGATGGCACTCCCGGGGTCCATCGGAGCTGCCATAGGTTCATGGTGGTGGCCTTCATGCGCAGCCACTGCAACCACCATGATCACAACACTAGCAATGAAGTTGAATGCTGCAGTTGAGACCTGGAAAGCCATTATTATATTGCCTTCTCTTCAAGATTCAAATGTTTGACTTCTATATATTTGGAGCAAATGGCAATGTTTGATTAGGCCTCGACTGCTTGCTTTGGTATTAATTCTACATGCTTATATAGAAATCTTTTAGAAGGGTGTTATTGACTTCACGCCGGCAACTATCGATTGTACGATTCATTACTGCAGGTTTGTACTTTGTACTATCATTCTAGCTTATTTCTTCCATTGACTTTCGCCCTTTTGATAGTTGAGGTCAGAATGAATGTGATATATATATATATAT